AACATGTGACTTCCTGAACGATAAGTATTCGTTCTGTAGGCACATGGTTTAATAAATATAATAAGTTTATATGTAATACCTAGTCCTTATTGTGTCTTGATATTCTTGAAAGATGTGAGCCTTATAGGTGGTAGTGAGCCTCGTGCCGGAACTTGGTTATGGGTCCACAACGAGATGATATCATTTTCCTTGAAAAAGGGCGATGGCTACACTATCTCCGAAAAGGAGGATGGTGTCGTAATCCTGTTGACACCTCGCCTATGGTGGGCAGCGATTGCTGCTTATCACAAGGGTGGGGTTGGTCGTCTATCCTTGTGATATGCAGGGTCGCCGCGTCCTTATGATCCTCGTCTGACCAACTTGGACTATAGGGATGGGGTTGTCTCGTGGCATTGACAGGGTTGCGATACTGGAATCGGAGGGAATGTGGTGAGGCTCGAATCTAAAGCGGGGCTTGATGTCGAGATGTTATCCTTTGTGGAGGATTACACCACTCCTCGACGCAGTCACATAGAGTTTGGGGATATTAGGACATAATAATCCTGGGTATTTGTAAAGTTGCACGATCGGATGGGTTATGGAACTCAGGTAAAGGACTTAAATAAAAGGTTATTGTATTAAATGGCTAGTTCAGATCATGTCTGAACGATTATCATAGGTTGGGTTATGGAGACCTGTCAGAGGTTATTCCTGGCTCATTCTGGGAATAAGCGGAAGGTTAATACGGGTCTTCCAAAAGGGATGGTGGAACACCGGAGCCTTGCTATTATTATCCTCGACAATCGTGATTCTAGTATAGTACGAGTATCCTTGTGTTACGTGGGAGGTCCGGGTTAAACTCCTGGCGACACGTGAGTGTGTTGAGGTGTTGTGGATGCATCCCCATGGACATGAGAGACCCGGGTTAAATTCTCGGCAGCAGTGGTTGCTTGCCCAGGTGATTGAAATATTGATTTCCAACCGAAGAATTTTGTTAGCCAGAACCATGAAAACTAAGTCCTTTGAATTTTGGGCTTCCAGGGCTGAATCTGGGCCGGAGTTTCAAAATTTTTGGCTTTCAGGGGCCGAATCTGGTACCCAACCGATGAATGCAGGATGATTGTAAATTTTGGCTTCGAGGGCATAACTCGTTTAATGGTAAGGAGTCCATTTTTTCGAATATCCACTTGTTAAAGTATCTGTGATTTTATTAAGATTGAAAGATACTAAGAGAGGTATTTGTAAAAATGTATGATGAGAAGTACCGACCACGTGAACGACGTGGAAGTCGTTCAATGGTGTCTGGGAATGTTGTCGGGGCAGAAACCCTGACAAGCGTATCTGCCTGTGTTTTTCAACGTCGGACGCTGTCTGACCTTCTCACTTAATTAGAAGACTTGATGAGATTGACGTTCCTTGAGTTTATCCTGACCAGCGCTATGACTGAAAGACTTGAACTTTTTGAACCTGACATCGTCGACGCAGGACGACACCGACATCCGTGCGGGATAACGGGGGTCGGCACTGTCGTCCGCGGGTTTCGACGAGGCCGCGCTGGTGTGCGGTCGTGGGGAAACTAAAGTTGAACCTACTCTACCTATAATAAGGTCGCGCGGCTGTTAAGCCGCGCGATTCAGGGCCTAAGCGGGCCAAGAATGGGTCGCTGCGGCAAGATGGACCGCGGCGTGAAGGGATGGCTTAGGGTCCATACGGCTTTTGCGCCAAGGACCCGGGGGCGAAGGCGTTGTGGCCGGCTAAGTACGGCAACTGTTCAAGCTGTCGGCCGCCGACCTCGCCTGCCAGCCACGACAACAATCCGGCTTAGCAGGCATAGCCTGCTAAGCGTTAGCAAGAGGCCTGCTAGGCGTTACCAAGGGGCCTGCTAGGCACGAGGAGCCCTTCATATGGAAGGGCCACTCCTTTTCTGATGTGAAAAGGAGCTAGCCCAGTAGGTACCGTCGCCAGATTACTACCCTGCAGACATGGGGATCGAACCTAACAACCTGCACTACTCGGCTAGCTCCTTTTGGAGCAGCCCGCGATTTGGCAAGAGGTGCGGCTGATTTCTGGCCGTGCGATCTTCGAGATCGTGCAGCTGAAATCAGCCGCGCTGGGGCGATATGGCTCTTTCACGAGGATGACACGAATGAAATTTTTTTTTTTTAACCTTTT